CAAATAATTCCTTTATTTGGTAATACCGCCAAATGTCGGTACTGATTAACATGATTTGCTGGTATTCATCACTGCAAAATGTCGTTTTCCTTCAATTAAATTGATTAAATAAGAATGAACTGAATGTAAACGTACCTGTTCATAGAAGAACAAAACTGATACAAAACGGAAGAAGTCCATTTCAAATAAAATGATAATTAAGATGGGGAACAGATAGAAAGTCTTAATATCCTCAACAATCATTAATTTGTTGAAATTTAATCAATGGAGCATGTTCTTAAACTAATTTTCCAATCAATGAATGATAAAATGATCATTAGATGTACGGTTTAGAGAGTATAATGATTGTAAGGGACTCCCCTGGTGCTTGCTCGGAGATAAATAACTGTAGAAAGAAGGGGGAAAGGCATTTCAAGTTGTATAAAAAAATGAACAATCGGCGAAGGGAAAGGTTGCACAAACTTATTCCACGGTAACTTTCGTCGAAATACGACACACAAGTAACTGCATTGTGATAGGAGTTGTCGACTGTTGTTCCTTCGTCCTTATCTTTTTCGGCATACAGTTGGAATAAGAGTGAATTGAAGTTGATGATGATTGGACTAGTCATGGATGTCATGCCAATTCGAATAACACTACAAGCAGAAATTTTAAATTTTTGGCTGAATAAATATGCGCAATTCACATGTCATTGACATATGACAAAACAACAATCATCGATCCTTACTTTCCGAATATATCACAAATGCGAGTTACAAATGATTTATAAAGCCTTATCACTCATGATCGTCTATTTCACTTTTTTACCTCTTCTCTAATGAACTCTTTAAATCAAGAATAGCAATGTTGGCAATGCTCATCCTCATCTGGAGACTAAATGTCCTTTCCATTTAATAACTAGTCTGATGAACTTCGGTCATTTCTAATCTTGGCAGGAATAAGCCCTCCAGGTTTACTCATGAGCAGACTCATCCTCCGACATCTACAAATATTTCCTTCAACTGGAACGCAGCCGAGATGCAAGTCATATTGTAATGGTACAACTGTACACTGCTGATCATGTTGCAGGTATTTGGATTCCTTATTATGCTGTCACTCGTTATCATCAAATATTTGGTTGCTTTAACGATAATGTAAGTTAAAGTGTTTGCTGTTATTATATTATTCATTAAGTATACATATCTGCTAATGTATTCCTTCACTTTCAGTGCAATATTATCAGTTACTGAAACGGATGCACTGGCATTGGCATTTAATCCTGTTACTTTCTCACAAAACATGAGAGTAGGAGGCAACGTAAGTTTCATGCTTCTTATTAGTTTCAAACATTAAACTTTTCACATATTACATTAACGTATTAGGCATTAGTGTTCATTTAAGCATCAGCTTTCCAGTTTTTTTTTTTTTTTTTTTTTTTTTTTTTAAATTTAAGACTGTGGCCGATAATGGCAACGCAATGTAGTTGGTCTTTCTTGTTGGAGATGATCAAAGAAGAAATCAAATTGAACAGTCTCCTCAACCTCCTCAAGCTTCTTCTAGCTCAGATTTGCTTGGAACTTTTTTATTAGCTTCATTACTGGGATCAGCTTATGGTAGAGGCTTCCCATATTCTCCTCCATATAGTTATTATTATCCATACTTCGGTTACTCTCCTTATTCCTACGGTTATCCTCCCTATTACTACTATTATTATGGATAATTGTTTCATTTTCTCCAAATGCCTCTGTATGATTGTGCAGATTTTAAAATTATTCAGTGCTTTGTTCGGCGTTGTATTCTGTATTCTATTGGCGTTAAGTTTACCTTATACAGTCAAATGCTACTGCCGACTTACATGATTCATCGATCACTTCAAGATGCCGTTTTTTTTTTCAGTTAAAGTTGATTGAATAAATGGTCCAATCAATAAGTTAAAAAATGGGTCGTTGGAAGGAAAATAAGAAGGATGAACTGAATGTAAATGTGCCTGTTTGCAAAGGAAAAAAACTGATTCAAAACGGAAGAAAACCATTTCAAATTGAATGATAGTTAAGATAGGGAACACACAGGAAGTTTTAATATCTTCAACAACCATTAATTTGTTGAACTTTAATCAGTGGAACATGTTCTTCTTAAACTTAATTTTCAAACAATAAATGATAAAATGATCATTAGATGTACGGTTTAGAGAGTATAATGATTGTAAGGGACTCCCCCTGGTGCTTGCTCGGAGATAAATAACTGTAGAAAGAAAGGGGAAAGGCATTTCAGGTTGTATAAAAAAATGAACAATCGGCGAAGGAAAGGTTGCACAAACTTATTCCACGATAACTTTCGCTGAAATACGATATACAAGTATTTGCATTGTGATAGGAGTTGTCGACTGTTGTTCCTTCGTCCTTATGTTTTTCGGCACGCAGTTGGAATAAGAATGAATTGAAGTTGATGATCAAAGCTTTTCCTAGTTCAGATTTACTTGGAACTTTTTTGCTAGCTTCATTACTGGGGTCAGCGTATGGTAGAGGCTTTCCATATTCTCCTCAATATGGTTATTATTATCCATACTTCGGCTACTCTCCTTATTCCTACGGTTACCCTCCTTATTACTACTATTATTATGGATAACTGTTTCATTTTCTCCAAACACCTTTGTATTATTATG